AGAAAATGGATTCTTTCTGCTTCAGACGCTGATATAGAATTGGAGGGCATAGAAATTTCTGGCCCAGCTGCTGAGAACATCTCAGACATACTCAAGGACTTTAACTTGTGCTCCAGATACCTGGAAGAGGATGATAACGATGATAACGATATGACAATGTAATTGCACCTTGGGAAAAATTTACCTCATCCTTCAGCATAATCTGCCCACCATACTTACATTTCCAGGAAAGGCTTGTGACCTGCTTTGCTGATATCAGTGGAAGATAATTCATGCTGGAGAACTTGTGTGGTTGTGTGGACTGGCTTTCCTCTGCCATTTTCAGTGGGATGCAAGGAAGACATGATAAGCAAATGGGTGGAAGGATCCTGGCTTATATTCTCTAGTTTTGCATCCTTTGATTATGATCCCTGTGTGGGGCACATGGTATGGCCCCATTGTCTGTAGGGATATATTCCAAGTGTTCTTCACATAAACCTACCACTTACATCATCATTCAACATGCCATGGTGTTAGCACAGTGGGGTAGTCCAGACAACAAGTGTAACTTTATTGTAAAGTTGCATTAAGAAAATCTTGCCAGAGTGAAAGTATTTCTCCCCTCCTTTCTTTTTCCTTGCCAGAAAACTAGGGAGGGTCTCTTCTGAAATGTTTCCCATGCCCTCCCTCCATCTGTGGGGCATCTTTTACACTCTGGTTTTCCTGTGGCTTTTCCTCCTGTCTCTGAAGGTCATTCCCACATACCATTATGTATGGCCATCTTCATCCCTTTCAGGTGTTCTGATCTGAAGGAGGGTCAGAGAATGTAGCCCAGGCTCAGTCCTGATGTAGAGAACTCATCCCAATTTGAAAACAAAACAGAATATGACAAATGCTTCATACCCGCTTTTACCTTTTTACAATATCTTTTCTTTTGAAATAAGCTCCAATCTATGCTCTACATGTGACACTAATTCACCCCCTCACAAATTGTTCTCATTATTATTTCTACTAATTTGCACATCCTTGTCCTAAAAGTTATCTCTCATATATTAAAATATTCCTCTGATACTTGTTGCTGGGGTAAAAATACTAAAACAAGTCTAATTCTTTATTGAGGATATTATCACCAAGTATACTTGAATAAGTAATAATCAAGCAACTGCTATTATCCAGATAGTTCCCAATCTTGCCTATGCAGACACATTCATAAACCTTCAATTCTATCTGTAGTGATGCATTTGTCAGAACATTACTGTTTGATTGAAGACTTTGAAAAAATAATGTCAAACCAGAAGGGAATGTCAGTGAAGTCTAAATGCTGATGAGCCAAGGATTCAAGTTAAGGCTATTTGAATATCACTTACATCTTAAATGTCCTACTGTTATTACTTGAAAGAAATTTCTACAAATGCTGTCTTAAACATATTTGTACCTGATGACTGAAAACTGATGTGGGAAGATATTGATGTGTTGAGAAGCAGCATCAGTAAATGAAAGAGGGGGTGGCATTTCTAAGGATATATCTGCATTTCATAACTTTTATACAAATCTAACAACATTGACTCTTTCCAAAGGAATCCCTAAGAAGAGGATGGTATTGAACATTCTGTAAGAAATAACAAGCACAACTAAACTTAATGATTGTTAATTGAGTTCAATGATTCATTGGAAGTATATGGCACATAACCAAATAAGAAAAATCCTTGCTTTAACCTAACCTCTTGCACCTATAATCAATTCTTGTTGCAGCCATTGCACTCAGACTGTAACTCTTTTTGTACTGTTTCACTAGTACTGTATAGTACCAGTACTGTATCCTTATCCACACTCAGTACAGATGTGTTAATTTTTTTGGAACTAGTATTTCTGAGTAAGATTTGGTCTAATAAATGGAGAAAAATGTTTTGGGGTTTTTGGCTCAGGTATGAGGAGCCTAGCTTGGCAATATAGATAATCAGTATCAAAGAGATTAAAATTTAGTCCTTGTAAATCCTCTTGCCTTTTTGGCTAGAGTTTCTCAGGGAAATAAGCACATTATTCCAAGCAGAATAGTATCAGTGTCAAGTTAAAATAAGCATCATATATTTAGAGAAGAGATTGGAAAGAACATGTCTGTGTAATGGAAGTTGCTTAGACTTGGCAATGTCATGGTTTCCACACCAGTCAGCTATGGCAAATGGAAGTTTTCCATCATCAGATTGCCACCATTCACTGAATTTCAATGTTTCATGGAGTTGTTAGTGGATCTGATAAAGGAAACAAGGTGGTAATCTTACCTATGGTGGATTTTACTGTTATTTCTGGGAAATGCCTTCCTCAGGTTTGTCAGAATTGGACAGGGTTTTTGTTGGGAATCGTGTCAGTGTCTGAGTGTTTTGAGGCAATTTGATAGCCATGTCCCAGAGTGCCTATTCAAGACTGATTAAATGCAGATCAGTTTTATCTAATTACTGTTTAGTCATTCTTTCAACAAATACACAATTTGCTGATATATACATTTTAGTGCTGATTTCTATGAGTTTGTCACCAGGAGGATACTGGTGGCTGTTCTGAACAGTACTTTAATGAAATCCATAATCTGGGATGCATATCAAGCACTTAAATCAAATCATTGCCAGTTTCTTTGATTTTTCCATGTCTGAGTCAAAATGGATATAGGTCTGTAAATCATTGATCATTTTGATTCTGACATTCATATGCACCAATAGCCTGCAATATCAAATGAGAATGCAAACAGGACTTGTTCTCAGCTAAGCAGTAAGCAGGACAATCTTTCAAAAGCACAGAAATTATTTCTTTTGTTGTTGTTGTTGCCCTGCAACTGCTTCTCCTATTTCACAAGCTGCAACATCTGGGCAACTCTTACTCTACGTAAATAGTCCTCTTATTTATTTAGCCCTTATCTTTACTGGAGTGATAAATCTTTTGTTTGGCTTATACTGCTTCAGATTGTAGCTAGAGGATAGATGCAATAGTCAGCCATTTTTTAAAAAAATGCCCAGAGAAACTATATGCCATGGTATCAAGGATGTGAAGAATTTCATTAATATAAAGGTAAGGTGGTGCCACATCCACAGCCTGTAGAAATTTTAAGTGTTTCTTCAGCCTACCATTGATTAGGGAGAATTAGAGGAAGCAAAAACAAACCAAGCAACTCCATATAGTATCTGCTCACATTCTTCAGAATGGTATTTTGCTTTGCCTAGGGATATTAATGTATTCTGATGTATCTTTATTTTGTTCCAAGATTGGGAGTACAATTTCTTTAGTAACAGTCATTACTAAATTCCATAATCTTCTGTCCAGAAAGACACTGTCTCTTCTACTGGAGTAAACTTACCTTGGTGGTCCTTTCTGGGCTAGTAAGTAGATTTCAAATAAAACAGAAGGATGAAATATACACTCTTTGATTCTATAGACAATCTTAGAAATGTTATTCTGGAGGCTGTTGCTTTGTAATGCATCAATTTCATGCAGATGCATGCACACAAACATATTTCTGGAAAAGAAAAGTCATATGGGCAGGACTATAAGAACATGAAGAGAGACTGCATAGATACAATATTGGTTTTTAGACCAAAAATATGAAGAGATGCCGTAATGTAAATTGTATTTCTGCCAATGATATTTCTGAAACTTCTCACCTTTACATAAGCATGATTTTGCAGTCATTGGAGGTCTAGATTATGGGTTTTTCTGAGTACTTGTGCTTCATCTATTTACATGTAGTCCTCATTTAGTGATCCAAATAGGATCAACAGCTATGTTAAGTGGTCACAAGGTTGGAAATCACATGACCACAACTGTGCTTTCCTTCCCCTAATCTCCTGCCCTTTGAATGTTCATCCCAGTGCTGGGATAATTAGTAAGAAAATAATTAATGTTTATATTTACATTAATTGGAGAGGAATATATTGCAAGAGTAAGCAGGCACACAATAGAGAATCCACATTAAAAACAATGAGCTGGAATCAGCAACCATGAATGTGTTATGCAAACTGTCTGGTGTATTCCCCATTATGTGCCTGCTTATGTAATCCCTTTCTCTCCAATATTTTTCCTCTGTACTTAGGCACAGGAGAGATTGCCTATTGCTTGTTTTTTCTCTTCACCCCCTTCCTTTCTATGGAATAGACATGCTCCATATTTCATTTGTATTAGGTAGAATCTGAGGAAAATCAGGTGGGGGAGAGAAACTGTTTTTTCTTCTTACATTGACACCAAAATATTTAAAATTAAATGACAAACATTAAGTCTTAACCATGCTTTAAAAAAACAAAGTCACCTGGCTAAGGACACTCATTCAACTCTTTGTTGAATGAGTGTCCTAATGCAGAGTTACACTGAAAGGATTGAAACAGACATCTCTATAAACAAATACTGCTACAAATGGCAGCTATATTTCTATTTTCTTCTGACTCCCTCCATTAAAAAGCAGTAAAATTTATCACAGGTTATCGTGGCTTTCACTAAGCCAGTGCACTGCAGATGCACTGAATTACAGATCTGTTATCTTGGTCAGAATGGTTAATGGAGGTGCTGTGTTAATGAAGACTTGAAGTAAGCCCTATAATCAAGATCCAGGTTTTTCAAACTGTGTTCCATGGAATCCTTGAAAATATGATGGAATTCTATGAAAAACCTGGGATAAAAAAAGAAGCTAAGGCAAATACATCCAATTTTTCCATCACTGGAGCTTTGTCTTTTGATCAGGAGCTCCAGCCAAATTTCTTGCTCTGAAAAAAATTGAAATCACCTGCTATAGACTTTATGGGGGAGGAGAAGGACCTGATTCACAGCTGCAATTTTCAGTAAAAATTCTACATTTACAGCAATATTTGCATATTCTTCAATTGAAATGTTTGCCAGATACTAACTGTGAGGACTACTTTTGAATGGAGAAGAATGTATGCTTTATCTGTTCATACCATGATACTTAGCAGACAGGAATCTATCAGATTGCACAATCCATTTCAAGGAACTTCCCAAAAGAAATAAAACACACTTCCACCAACCACAATGGCAAAACCACGTGCTGTTTAATAACATTAACTTGATGAGGTTCTTACATGCCCTTGTAGGCAACGCTCTCTTTTCCTCAATGGCATTAACCATAACCAGGCATGAAACGCCATATAATTTTTATACCTATAAATATAGTTACACACAGGCACACAGACACATGTGTATGCGTGCACAAAAGATATATGTATATATATTGAGAGAGAGAATATATATTCTCATAAGTCACATTATCAAAAACATGCACAGAATAACCAATTAAAAAAAAAAGGTTTAAGCAAAGATGTTTTGGAGTTGGAAGACCAAAGGCAAATCTGGTTTTTTTCTGCTCGAGTGCCCCAGGACTGAAGGAAGTCAGAGGGTTATTTTGTAAACCCACTTCTACTTTTCCTCCCATTCCTTTCCTGGAAAGTCATTGTCCTCAATTAATCCCATATTTTAAAGATGGGAAGAAAACTATCCCCCCCTTCTTCAGAAATTCAGAATTGTGAAAAGTCTTAAGACTGGTCTCTCTTTATAAACTTCCCTGCAAGTCAACCTTAATAAATTTAATCTAAAAAAAAAAAAAAACCCCACACCCCAAACCTTTGGTTTCTTTAAACATGCTTCAATTACACTAGCCACTATTTCTTTATATATATATATATATATATATATAACTATATATATATAGTTCCTGTATTTATTGTCCTGTATTCTGCTTTTAAGCTTATTCACCACTATGAAAAGCTTTTCTTTTCTTTCCTTCTTTTTTTAAAAAAAGTTCCTTCTAATTGGAAAATTATTTTTGAGGCTCATTTCTAGCTTGGAGGATGGGTCCACCACTTCATGCACAGCACCAAATGAACTGGAGAAATATTTAAAAAAATATGGTACTATATTCAGAAATGATTTTTATCTCTCAGACAACATTTTGCAGTTCCTAGAAATAACAGTAAATTAACATCCAAACTTATAATTGCGGATACAAAGTTTGGAACAAAATTCAGACATCTATGCCAATGACATTTAAGGAAAAAGGAAACAAAAGTGCCATACTGAAGTATGTATAGTATTGTAATGTCAAAAGAAATACACTACAGGTATGCCTGGACTAAACATGTGCGGAAAAACTGAATTAATTAAAATAAATTATGAATTTATTTAAAATACTTTTTCTGCTTGCTTCACTACTAAGCCTCTCAACTTGAATAGGAAAGTTTCAGATTATAACTTGGTTTCCACAATTATAATACTCCTTCACTCAGATAATTATTTGTGCACAGAAAGTGAGCATTTCATGGAAACTTGGCTTAGAATATCTTACCACGATCAATTGTCCCATCAACTGCTGAGAATTATCTTTGCATAGAGAAGCATTGAAACCTTGGCTTCCCCCACCCCTGGCAATCAAAAATGGTACCATCTAGATACAGCTTTACTGTGTAGTGAAATCCAGGTCAAGGGACCTGAATACACTTGACAGCATCACCCACAAAACAAAATGGGGATGATTTAAAATGAAAAAGTAGCAACAAGCAGAGCAAATGCAGGTTTTCCACCACTGCTTCAATTATCTCGTCTCCCAATTATCCTGATTCTTGAGAAGCTCAGTGACGGGAAGAAAAAGTTCAGGAGAACCTGCTGAAGATATTTTGCTGCCCAAGGTGAGGCATCAGAATAAAACCTCTGTATATGTAAAACGTAGCAAATATTTGTGTAAGTTTGTTCCAGAGTTAATCCCTTCATTTTTCCCTCCTCTTCTTATGAGCAGCCCATAAATACAGAGAGATAATGACTTGCCACAAGGGGCTACAATGAAGTAAGCAAAATCTCTGGCACCAGAGCTAATTTAGTGACTTTCAAAAACAATATAAGTCTATATGCAGCTAAATTATCTGTACCTATGTGCCATCTTCTTTATTTGCTAGATGGCTACATTTTAAAGTGAAATATGATTAAGAGATTGACTTCAATCTCTTTGAAAGTACCAAAAGTAATAAATTAAGCCACTAGCCATCTTCTCAATCATTTTTGCATAATAATTTAATGCCTAATATAAATGCATGGATCACAGTAGTTCTTTGTAGAGCCCCAATTTCTCATTTTATTCCTGACTTATGCAAGAAGTACCTGCCATTGTCTAGACTGACCTAAAGCCAGCGTGGTGTAATGGTTAAGGTGCTAGAGGATCGGATTCCAGCCCGGCTTTTGTCATAGAAGTTCATGGGGTGACTTGGTCTGGTCATTTTCTCTCAGTCCAACCTATCTCACAGAGTTTGGTTAGGGAGCAACTGCTATGTCCACTACTGTGAGCTCCTGAAGGAAAGAAAGGGAGGCTATATGTTGCGTATACGAATAAGTAAATAGATCTTAGAATGGAGAAATGCAAATAAGAGTAAGAAACAATTCATCAGCAACAGAATAACATAGTAGTTCAAAACAGGCAGATTTTAGGCAGGCGAGTCCATCATGGGGATGGTATGTGTCAAAAAAGTCAAGATGGCAATAATGACCATGTGATTGAAGCCCAGCCACTTGTATATCGCACACATGTACAAAGGGACAGAACTTCAATATCGTGGTCATGATCACCATCTTGAGTTATTTTTGGCCACCATCATCTCCCGGATGCCACTGCTTTAGGCCTAAGGGAGAAAAAGCATTGTTTCTTACACTCCTCTGCACTTCAAGGCTGTTTGCAGGAATGTAGGAAAAAAATACTCAAAAAATGCTATTTGTGATTTCAACATAACCAAGCTGAGACTTTGAATATGTTTTCACAACGAGCCAACTCATTTCCTAATTTATTGATCTGACATGAAAATTACATTCTGCTTTAACTGCCCAGGGAACTAGAGAAATCCAAGGGCCAAGAACAATGATGGCCAGAGGGCCACACTATGCTTTCTGCCCTGCCTGAGGGCTGTAAAGGTCACTGTGGAATGGTGCTGACATTTTTAGAGCCCATTGGGAAGGTGCTAAAGAGGGTGAAATGTCTCCTTTGCCCCTTTAAAGACTTTTTTTTTTTTTTAAAGGAAGCTAGCCTGATTTGGGTGGCAGGGAATTAAGTGGACTTCAAAGGGGTGCCTTTGCTTTTCAACTCCTCTGAAACATACAAAAATATTGCTCTTCATGAATGCCTTCCAGCGGTGAAATCCAGCCACATCTATCCGGCTCGCATGAACTGGTAGTGCTGGCGGCGGGAGGCTCAGCCCACCCACCCGTTGAGATGTCATTACATCCCATTTTTGACCCTCTGCGCATGCACAGAAGAGGTGCTCGCTTGCTACGCTCATGCATTCACATTACCGAACCGGTAGTGAAGGTAAGTGCATTTCACTGCTGATGCCTTCCTCTACAGCCTGGAGTGACACAGGGCAAGGCCCTCTCACACCTAATATAGAAGCCTTTCTAAGCAAGCCTATCTTAACAAACACCAATTCTACAGGTCTTATTGCCAAAAACTTGTTCCTAAAAAGAGGTGAATAAATTGGTTGGGAGTGATGGGAACTGAAATGCAATACAGTTGAAAGACACCTTACTAGGGCACAGGAACGCTGTCCCCAGAACCTGTCTCTTGGTTTAATTTCTCTAATTTAGTTCTTTCCCTCTGCTTTGCTGTTTTCCATTTCACTATTTATATAGTCACCCATCTCACTTCCATGACATTTTAAATGTGTCGATGTTATTGTATGTAACTATTAACCATGTAACCCACAGCAATAATGTCTTGATATTAATATTTAAGCAAGACACAATTTATATCTGGTTGCCGTTTTTACAAAAGTCCTATTTTCATAAACACCGTGGTGATTTTCATATATACCTAGATATTTCATTCAAGGAGAAAAAGGCAGGAAGGAGCATAGTTAGTTATCCACATTAGCTGAGGTGAGAAATTGAAAAACAGGGATGATGCACATATGACCCTTAGGCACTGACTAGGCATGATATAGGAGGCACATAAAGTATCTGATTAACGTTCATTTTTTAAAATGCAGCTGCAAAGCTTTGGATTTTATTTTTAAAAAGGGAGAGGCTGCTCAGAGGCTGCTGATTTGCTCGAAAGTAGCTCCTACAGCTATTTCTTCCCTCACAAAACATGTTGGTTTCCCCTTATCAGTGGAATAATTCTGTTAGAAATTATTTAAGTGGCCTTCCCTCACTTTAGAAAAATTCCTCTAACAATTACTGAACTAAATTAAGGGGGGAGGGGAAGATGGAGGATTTAATTGGTCCTCAAGGTTCAAGGACATTTTGTTTTCTTTCCTTCCTAGTTAATTCTCTTCCATCTTGAGCTAGCAAATAGAGCCTGTCACTATACTCCCAGAGTTGTGATGTCATCCACCATGATGCCATCTTTCAGTTCTTCTAGGAGTTAAGAAATGAGTAAGGAGAGGGATTTAAGGCTCACAGGCAAGGACAAGCAGAGGACAGACATTTATGGAATGTTTCCTTCAGGACTCTTTGGCAATCCCTTGATTACCCGTTCAAAATACTTCTGTAAAACTGTTCAAATATACCTTGGAATAAAGCTAGTTAGCATTCATGCCACAACATAAGCACTGCAATATTGCACCAGAGAAAATTATTTAGTGTGTAGTACAAAATGCACTATTTGCTAACTATGATTCTACTGCTGCTATGATTCATGCAAAGGATCAGGAAGTGGCAGCAGAGGGTTAAAAATTACTTCAAGAGATTCCCCCCCACAAAGTATGTCAAGGAAATCCAATGCCAGTTTTTAGTTCATTAAAAAAAGATTAGACATTCCTAATGGTTTCATAAGTAATCCTCTATAAGAAGGGTGTCATTATTCAAGAACATAAACCAGGAATGGGGAACCTAAACTCTCTATATGTGGTCTAAGTGTAACTCCAAGAAGTCTTGGGTGATAGGGCCAGTGGTGAGGACACTGAACATTTCAGGTTTACAACTTCTGCAGACGGGTGCATTCCTCAACCTTGGCATAATCTCCAGGCATCGGACAACAGTATTTTATACATGAGCAGAAACCTACACATTCCCTCCAGTGTTCTTCAGTCAGGAATTCACTGCCTATCAGTTCAGAGACATTCAAAATATAAAGCTGCAGTGTGTATCTGAATTGCATGGTTTCATTTTGCTTCCAAATTTTTAAGAAGAAACCAAGCGATTAAATAGAAAGGCATGCACATTACAAATGTGATGCATGTAACAAATGTGAAATTTCTGAACATGACCACGTTAATGTGAAATCATTGAGAGTTAATAAATGCAGCCCTCATAGACTTAAAAGTTTTTTCCCCCTTAGCTTTCTGTGGCAAGGGGCTGGGATTGGGGTCTTCAGACACAGGTTGCTGATAAATAACAATAAGGCAGTAGAGTTGGAGAACTGAGAGAGCTGATTGAGGCATGGGGCTGTAACCCTCCTTCAACTGCCCTTATTTCCAAATGATCTTTCTTGGTTGTTTTTTTTTTTCTCAGTCAGGCTCCAAGCCCAGAAATAAACCCACCTATAAAGTAGTAAAAAGGATATGCAGTATGCTGTGCTATCTGCCTGTTTTCTTCTACAAAAAATTAAAAAAAAAATCATCCCCAACTTTCCTGATTGAGGCTTTCTAAGCACAATATTTTCAGAGATGCAGAACTGCCCTGGCACAGGCGGTCCCCATCTTTTGATAATAGTATTTGTTCTTCAGTTGGCTGGTACTAATGTATTTATATCAGGAATCACTTTGAGCTGTTTCCATTCAGGTCACTGAACCTGACCTGACTCTGTTTAGCAGCTGAGATCGCAACATTTGTTGTTACTTTTGAAGGTGTCACACAAATCTCTTTTATTATATGAATAGAGCAATACAGCCATTCTGATTATTTAGTCCAATAAAATGAAAGCTGTAACCTTTTAGGATTTGGAATGCTACACAACTGAAGCTGAAGATTTTTTTTCCTCATCTGGGGCCAAGTGTAACTGAGTAAATTTTTTCTCTGCTGATGTACCTGGCTAAAAGCAGAGCCATCAGTACATTTAATCATAGGGAACAATAGGAAAGATATTTTAAAAGGAAAGATCCCTTTGCAGGGGATGGAGGGAGAGGAAGGTAAATGGAGTTTCATATCCCGAACAATTCTATTTATTTATAAACCCTCCCCAAGAACTGTACAATTTAAAAGAAAATATGGTTATCTTTGTTTGGTAGAATTTTCCAATGATAGTTATAGAAATCTACAATACAGTTGTAATTCTCTATTCCATCGTATACATTGTTCAGTCACATCCCCAGTTCTACAAACATAAAATTAGCTTTCCCTTGTTGTTTCTTTACTGATTTCCATGTAATATGACCCTCTGGCATCTCTCAGACTGAGAAAAATATACATCTCTCAAACATTTGTGATATGTGGCATTATCAAATGCATGTTGCTTACATTTTCCTTTAAAAAAGACAGACAATAAAATAAGGTATCTAAACAAGATGAGCCACTTATTATCAAGTTCAGTGAGCGCCAAGATGAAAGCAGGATACATTTACACAGAAACAAATTACCGTAAACATCCAGGTTTAGTCCTGGTCCTGGATAGGCACATGGAGCATAATGGTTTGGAGGAAAGGAGAATCAGGCTGCCTGAATCTCCACCCTCCCCCATCACAATACTGGAAACATCTCAAAGCTTTCTGGTTATCCTGAAGGCTCGATGATGTTGGAGTAACAGGAATTTCATTCATTCTTCATTTGCAGAGATGCACACTCTGCACTCTTCATGGTTCTGCATCATTGCTGGGAGAATTCCCCACAACTGACTGAAAGCCAGAATGCAGCAATTTAAGAAAAAAATGCAAGAACATGAGGTGTTCTCCTCATATCCAGCGAAGTTCTGTATCCAACCCTCTTAGCCTTCAGAGGTTGGCACTGTAGCATGTAAACATATTTTAAAAGAGAGGTGGGCTCCCAAAGGCTCAGAGGTTGAGCAGCCTCCCCAACCCAAGGAGCCAGGAAGAGTAAGGAAACAGAGACAAGGAAAAGAATGGTGACAAAAGGCTTTTCTTTCATGCATTTTGCTTTGATTATTTTTGCCTGACCATGTCTGTATGATGAAAATGTTCTCAAAGAAGGTGCTGTAAAGGGGAAGACAGAGTTTCTTGGTTGTTGAAATACATGGAGTTCCCCTCAATACTTCATGAAAAGGGTGGGGGCACTTCAGCTCCCTTTTGCTGATGACATCTGAATGCAAAGCTTCTGAACCCAAAGTTTTTTCCCTTTCTCTACACAAAGGGGTAAGATCTGAGTAAATAAAGCGTTGCTGTGCAATTTACTCTTCAATTTTCTAGCCAGCAGACCCAGAGAAAACAAATTAGTTGCAAGCCACATTGAAATTTCAGGTAAATAGAATGGTGTAGGAATGGAAGAGGAAAAGAACAGAGAAAATGCTATTTTCTCACAAGACAGTGTAGGGTCACCTTTTGTGGCAGCGTCCTTATTTTTGCTCTTCTAATGATGACCATAAATCTTTTTTTTTTAATTCTGGTCATTTTTTATATTATTATTTTCAAAGAACACAGTATTAAAAGCTAGGCTTTATAATGCTAATTTCCATTTACCTGCCAAAACAAACCAATCACTGAGAAAAAGGGATATCTTGAGATCAACTCTCTGGGACACAAAACCTAGCAATCATTCGCCCCCAAAAAACCCTTCTTCAAATAAAAATTGAGAAAAATGTGTTGCTTACTTTTTTCTTATTCTCGACTGAGCTAGGCTAATTACAAATATTTGTCATTAGAACAAAAACCCTAGCAGGAAAATGAATGGGAACAGTAGAGAATTAGTCTTGGCCCAGTCTCGATGCTGTAATATTTTCAGAGGAACTTGCAAGTCTAGAAAAGTATTACCTTACACTAGATGGCACCAGGCCATTCCCTCTCATGGCCAAAAAACTGTTGCAACATAAAATATTTGGGAGAAAAATAAAGGAAAACTAAGTACATAGTTAAGCTGTGGTATGTGTTTGCTTTTGTTTCTTTGTCTTGTCTTCCCTGTATATAATGGAAAGACTGAACTCCATGTCTGCATAAATTATAAGATTGACAGATGACCCCCGCTCCCTTTTCCCTACATGCAGTGCCCAATAATAAATAGAGGGGGAAAACCCTCTCCAGCCCCCATATAGGCAAAGTTAACAGAGGGTGGGTGCATAAAGAGGCTTTCAGCGGCAAATGCATGCACACGTTCTGAAGAATGAGGTTTGAATTGGACTCAGAGTACCTCAGTTTTATCACAGAAGAGTCACTACCCCTTAAGTCCCACAGTCTGGATCCATGCCCTCCACTTCATGGTCCTCTAGGCCTCAAGTGAAAGCTTCTCTCCAAATAGCACCTCACTTCCATAAGCAGAATTCTTGATGAGGCCTGACTTTTTTGTTGCAAAGTTATCTCCCTCTCTCCCTATCATTGATCCACCAGGTTCCAAGAGCCAGACCAGAGCAGCATTTTCTCAGAGGCTGTGTTAATTGAATCAGCCTCCCAAAACCACTCTTGATATCAGCATAACTTGTGCCCACTGTTTGCAATGTCCACATGAGGCCACTATCTTGCATTCCCTGAGCTTTCTGGGCAGTAAGTCTTAAAAGTTCAGCCTAACGTGTGCAGGAGGAGAGGGGGGAATTAGCAATGCCCAGCACTTTGGTCCTTGGCTTACCTTTCCATAAATCTAAGGATAAACAAGTGTGCTATGGGGAACTGGGGATCCTGGGGAATTGAGATAGGGGGAATTGAGGAGCTGGAGAGGGGCTTCCCTGACACTTTCCCCCACCCGTGTTTCCCATGCATATTGTCAAAGGTTTCAACAGCCAGAATCAGTTATTGGTTTCACCTTCTTCCTCATCAAAGGACTGAACTCCTGATGATGTAACATCAGAAACCTTGCGGCTAAGGGCAGCAGGCTCTGCCTCCTCTCTGGGTGAAAGAGACTCCAGATCCCGGCATACAACATCATCCTCTTCTGGAGAAGGTTTCTTGTTCAACAGGGGGGCTTTCTCCAGCACGGGGTTCCCTTCCTCTTCTGCGTGAACTCCCACAAGAGTGCTGGATTCAGCATTTCCCCCGTTACCAACGCTATCATCACCACTAGGAGTTGTCTGAGCTGGCCATACATCTACAAGGCCAGTATTTTGGAACACAGCCTGTTGCACTTGCTGGTGTTGTTGCTGCTGCTGTTGCTGTAGCTGCTGCTGCTGTTGCATTTGCAACAGTTGGTGCTGCTGGATAAGGTTGTTCTGGATTAAAACACTTTCCTGCAGGTTAGACTGGCATTCCTCAAAGTTCTGGCCGAGGTAAGAGCCAGCAGCTGGGGACGCAATGAGGGACTGATCACTGGTTTCCCAAGCATCAGATGAACCCAGGCAGTACATGCCTTGTGAGACGTAAGAGTGAGGCCAGCTGTCATACTGCACCTGGGCCAGGTGTTCTGCACAGGAGGTAGGAAGAGAAGAATAAAAATAAGAAGGAGAGGTGAAAGGCAGAATTGAAGAAGACATAGGAAAGACATAAGCAACAAGATTTTGTGGCAGGAAGGCAAGCTTGCTCAGCAGTTGCCTGAGGAGGTTGTGAGAGGACACAATTTACAGTGAACATCCCTTAAAATGGTTACTTACACAGCTGTTAGACTCTCAGAATCCCACAGCTGTGAAGATGCATTCATGATTTATATCCAGATACTTTGATTAATCCAATGTACAGATCAAGTGAATATGGACTGAGAATACATATTCATGTTAGGTGTCTATGAGATGTAGATGCTTGGATTTGAACCATAATCTTTTGTGCTTCAGGGAGCTTCTGTGGGGGATTTTAGAATGTCTTGAGACATTTTTTTCAGTGATCTGAAACAAGAGTAAAAGATCCAAGAGAAGAAAGAGATCTGACTACCAGAGAGAAGGCAATGAAAGATGTCAAACTTCTAGCAAATACATTACACATACAATCATGGTGATGCAGTGGTTAGAGTGCAGTACTGCAGGCTACTTCTGCCGACTGCCGGCCGCCTGCAATTTGGCAGCTCAAATCTCACCGGGTTCAAGGTTGACTCAGCCTTCCATCCTTCTGAGATGGGTAAAATGAGGACCTAAATTGTTGGGGTCAATATGCTAACTCTGTAAACCGCTTAGAGAGGGGCTGTAAAGCGGTATATAAATCTAAGTGCTATTGCTATTGCTATCATCTTATAGCAGCTCTGAGGCTACAAAATGAAAGACTAAAGATTGAAATTGCATTCCAGCTCTGCCCTAATCTAGGAGTGCAAAAGTTACAAGTCACATACTGTACTACATGCAGCTCATTTATGGCCCCAGAGGAGGTGGAGTTAGTTTCTTTCTTTTTTTAAAAAAAAACTCTTTTCCATTTTTGAGGCAGTGATTTAATGGTCAATTATATCCATTAAAAACAAAACAATAACAATAGAAGTATCCCAAAAACTCAGACCAGTTTTCTTTCTTTTTAAAAATTTTTTTGCTGCAAAACTGGTATTTACTTTGTCAGTTATGTTTCCCACAAGCCTCCACCCAAGAATAAGTAAAACAGCTTTTGCTCTATTACTGTATTTCAATAACTTTTTTTTCACTTGCTATTCTGTCTATTTAGATTCTTGGTATCATTTCACCCTCTACAGATAAAGAAGCCATTGTACTATATTTGGGAGGGGGGTTTATTTCAGCTATTACTAAAATTCTTTGCCCCTGAAATTTGATCAGCTCTTTGTTTATTATTTTAAAAACAATTGTTTATAAGGGTCACATTTTAATACAGGTAGTTCTTGACCTATGACCACAAATGAGTCCGGAACTTCTGCTGTTAAGCGATGTGGTCATTCAGTGTGTTGTGTTTGATTTTACAATCTTTTTTGCCTCAGTCATTAAGGGATCCAGCTTCTCCCACTAACTTTGCTTGTTACAAGACCCCTGGGATGGTCACAAATGGCAATCACGTGACCCCAGATGCTGCAACCATCATAAATACATGCCTATTGCCAAGTAACTGAATTCTGAATACATGAACACTGGGATGCTGTGACGATTTTAAGTGAGGACAGATCATAACTATCTTTTTTTTAGCATCATCCTAATGGTGGTTAAATAAAGAGTTGTAAGGACTACCTATAGTAGTGATGGCTAACCTTTTCCGGACTGAATGCCCAAAGTGCGCATGGGCGCGCAAATGCGCGCATGTCTGAACCACCCAAATGCAATGCACACCCCCTAAGCATGTGCCCCGCCGCCCGAACATGCGATCGCACGCCCCCACACATGCCCCGCCCCCTGCCTCCACCCCCCCTCACACATGCATGGCAGAGACCCGAAGACCACCTGGCTGGTGGGAGCCACGCACGCATGCGCAGCAGAGCTGAACTGGGTCGAAGGCTCGCATGCCGTCACAGAGGGCGCTGCATGCCACCTCTGGCACGGGTGCCATAGGTTCGCCATCTCGGACCTATAGCATGCTTGTGATCCTCTGAGAGTCTCTCGATAGGGTTAAGTAAAACTTACACGAATGAATAATGAAAAATGAAATGTAAAAAATAATAAAACAAAGGAAGGATGCATAGAAGCAAGAAAAGATATTGAAAGTGGCCCCACCTGGTTTTGAAGTAGAAGTCTTCATATGCTACACAAGGCCCATCAGCTGAGTAAAGTTGTATATTCCTGGATTCCATCCTATCCTACTTTTTGTATTGTTCTAAGATAATGCTACTTTTATTCAAAATATTCCTCTTACTTCCTTCTCTTTAAAACCCTTATTTTTTATTTTTATTTATTTTTAATTTGATTTATATGCTGCCCTTCTCTGGAGGCTCAGGGCGGCTTACAATGCGTTAAGCAATAGCCTTCATACTTTTGTATATTTATACAAAGTCAGCTTATTGCCCCCACAAACTGGGTCCTCATTTAACCTACCTTGAAAGGATGGAAGGCTGAGTCAACCTTATTAAACTGGTCATAGAAGATTCTGTTTTCTTTTCATATAATTTTTATTTACTTGATTATAGTAGCACTTTTATAGTATAGATAAACATTTTAACAGGAATATAGTTCATATTGTATAATGATTTAACTTGAATTGGCAATTTTCAAGAGAGCAAAGTCACACACAGTTCTCATGGAATAAGTTAGAACTTCCTTTTGTGTAACATGATAGCAGTGATATTATGATTTGCTTGTGTCTTTAAAATAAGTTAAAGATTGAAGATTCAAAAACTTATATTTCTATTGTTTATTAATTATTTATTTCTTCAGCAACAAAGAAATAATTAATAATGGTTAAAATATTCCACTTGGAATATTGGAATGTAAAAGGACATTTAGCTATCCTCCAGAAATCTCTTTATGGACATATTTGTTAAATGTGGATAACTAATACCGTGTTTTCCCGAAAATAAGACATGTCCTGAAAATAAGGCCAATCGGGCTTTTCAGGAATGTGATAATATAAGCCACTCCTGCAAAATAAGTCCCCCCACCAACTATGTGCCCCACTCCCCCCACCGGGCATGACAGGGCTCTTGCCCCTTGCTTATCCACCTGCCACCACCTGCCCCTTTAGGGTGCAATTTAGGGGTGGCAGGTGGGGCGGGCAAGAAGCGGGACGCGCGGCTTACCTTTCCAGCACCGTTGCATTCCTCGCCATTCTGTCCAGGGAGACACATTGTAAAAAAATTTTTTTACAATGTGTCTCCCTGGACAGAATGGTGAGGAACGCGACGGTGCTGGAAAGGTAAGTCACGCATCCCGCTTCTACCCCGCCCCACCTGCCACCCCTCTCAATAAAGAGACGGTGAGGAAGGGAAGCAGGCAGGCTGCTGTTGCCATTGGGGTGGGATGGGACGTGTTAGGCCGCGAGACGTGCATCTTACCCTTCCAGCACCATCACGTTCCTCGCCATTCTGTCTAGGGAGACACGTTGTAGAAAAAACTTTCTTGCGAGTTCAGCCAAACTCCTTGAACTCATGAGAAAGTTTTTTCTACAATGTGTCTCCCTGGACAGAAAGGCGAGGAACGTGATGGTGCTGGAAAGGTAAGTAGGTTTTGTTAAAGGGCGTTATATGTGTGATTTAGTTAGAAGAGTATTAAATGTTAATTCTCAGTTAAATGCTGAGAATAATGGTGATAAGATAGGTATTCTTGCCTTGGATATTTTTAAAGCCTTTGATTCTATACAATGGGATACTATAAAAGAAATGATTTCTGCATTAGGATTTGGTAATAAATTTATTCATATTATTTCCAAATTGTACCGGAGGGGTACGGCAAGAGTGAAGGTAAATGGTATATTTACACAAGATATAAATTTGGAAGCAGGGACGAGACAGGGTTGTCCCCTGTCTCCGACCCTATTTTTATTAGCAATGGAAATTTTAACAACTTTGATTGAAGAGGATTCAGAATTAATAGGTTATAAAGGCATCAAAGTTAATTTATATGCAGATGACACTCTCGTCATTTTAAATAATATTACAAATGATATTAAAAAAGTTCAAATACATTTGGAAGAATTTGAAGATATGACTGGTTTGAAAGTAAATTGGGCAAAATCAGAATTATTAATGGAAATTGATAGGGAAAACAAATTAGAAAAATTACAAAATCAATTTGGAATTAGGATAAAGGATAATTTAAGATATTTAGGTATTATATTTTCACTTAAAATTAAAAATTTAAAGAAACTAAATTATGACATAGTAATAAAAGAAATTGAAGAGAAAATTGGGAAATATAAAAAACTAAAGTTATCTTGGTTTGGTAGAGTAGCTTTATGTAAAATGATGTTACTTCCTAAATTTAACTTTTTATTCGAGATGCTTCCGATTTTTTTAACCGAGAAGGACATTGAAGTATATAAAAAAAAATTAGATAAATTTTGTAATGGGGATAAAAAACCAAGATTGATTAAGAAAATGTGGTATCAGAACCAAAAACAAGGTGGTTTAGGAATTCCAAAATTATTAAACTATTATAGAGCATTTAATATAAAAACAGTAGTAAGAATTTTAAAAGGAGATGTTAAACTTTGGGGTAGTTTGGAAATGAAGGAAATAAAGAAGTTTGGTTACAAATGGTTTTTGGAAAATTTTAAAGGTAAGGTTAAAATTTGTAATTATTGGTTAAATAGTTTGACTAAAAATTGGGACAGAGTAGCAAAAAAATTAATACCAGATGTATTGTATTTAGGTAAACTGAAAGAGAATTGCCCAATGAAATTAAATAGTAACAGAGAGAGGATTATAATAGAAGAGAAAGTGGAAACAATTAGTGAATGGTTGAAATTTATAGAAAATGAAATGAGGAAAGAGGAAATTTATGGAAAATTAAACATTAATTGGTTTGAAAGAATTCAAATGAATAAATGGAATAGGAAATGTAAAGAAAGGAATGATGAGAGTAGAAAGGAAACGGAATTTGAAAATTTGACATCTCGAATAATAAAAGATGAAATTGGGCCAAAGGGATTAGTTAGTAAAATTTATAAAATTATTAACTTTGATAATAATTCACAAAGGGTAATGAAAGAAAATTGGGTAAAAGAACTGGGTATTGAAATTTCTGATCAAAATTGGAATATGAACTGGGTTAGTAGAATAATGAGGACATTATCAATAAGGATTAAAGAACATAACTATAAAGTTATTTGGAAGTGGTATTTGACCCCAATAAGACTTTTTCAAATGGATAATAAAGTGGATAAAATGTGTTGGAGATGTAAAGTGGAACTCGGGACATATGCTCATATGTGGTGTAAATGTAATGGGGTTGAACTTTTTTGGTCTAGGATAGAAAATGAAATATTTGAAATGATTAAGAAGAGGGTCAAATTGAAATTGGAAACCATATTATTATTAATATTGAATGAAACAACATTAACAACTGGAAAAAGAGAATTGGTGAGGATTTTGGTTATAATGGGGAGAATTATAATTGCTAGATATTGGAAATTAAATGTTGACTTAAAATTAGAAGAATGGTATAATGAAACATGGAAATTTGCATTAAATGATAAATTGACTTGTGATATTAAAATTAGAAGTGGTATATACAAAGAAAATGTTTTTTGGAACACTTGGCAACCATTTGTGGACTTTGCACTTGGGAGATTGGATGAATCGGCACCAGTACCTTATCAAAGAGATTTCTGGAAGAATTGAAGACTTCAATTTCTTAAAACTTCCTTTCTGTTTGTATAGCACGTTGGGGGAAAAAAATTTTTCTTTCCTTACTATTGATTTTTGTATTTTTCTTTTCTTTTTTTTTCTTTCTGTTATTCTTTAACAATAAAAATATAATAATTTTTTTTTTAAAGGAAAGGTAAGACGCGTGTCTCATGGCACAACACGTCCCACCCCAATGGCAGCAGCAGCCTGCCTGCTTCCCTTCCCACCGTCTCTTTATTGAGAGGGGTGGCAAGCGGGGTGGGGTATGCTTCTCCCACCTGCCACCCCCAAATTGCACCCTAAAGGGGGCAGGTGGCTAAGCGAGGGGCAGGAGCCCTGTCATGCCCAGCTGGGGTGGGGGGAGAGGAGACGGCAAGGGGAACCACTTCTCACTCCATGCATCTCCCTTCTCCCCCACCCCTCCTGCAGAAATGAGTCTTTGTGAGACTTGTTGCGCCACCGCTGCCACCTCGTAGAGCAGGACTCTGCAAGGCTTGTGCCGTTGCATGCAGGAACTGCAGCATTGCCGCGAGGTTCGACATACCAGCACAGCTGCGAGCGGCAGGATGCCAGCTGTGCCAGTATGATGAAGCTCGTGTCGGTGCTGCAATTCATGCATGCAATGGCACAAGCCTTGCAGAGTCCTGCTCCACGAGGAAGCAGTGGCGGTGGGACACGCCAGGGCAGTGGCCAATGTGAAGAATGGGGAGGGGAGGCGACGGCAGCAACGGGACATCCAGTCCCATGCTCACCACCTCCTGCATCCCCAAAATAATAAGACCACCCCCCCCCAATAATAAGGCCAAGCCCTTATTTGGGGGGGTCAAAAGAAAATAAGACCCTGTCTTATTTTCGGGGAAACATGGTATGTATATTTAAATGTAAACATATATTTGTAAATTTCTTAAACATTATGAATGCACATATCAACTATATGTATACATATACAAACTGTATATATGTTGACTGGAATGTAAGCAGGCCTGGTTAATATAGAATAGCTCAGGTGTGTCAAACTTGCGGCCCATGGGCCGGATGCATCACATGCTGGTCACGCCCATCCCCATTTTAACGAAGGGGAAAAAGTTGTGATACATCACGTAACGAAAATGTGACATGGCAAATTTGACACCCCTGGAATAGCTCTACCTTATTACCAGTAGAATGGTTCACCATCCCAAATGATCTTCTTCAAATAAATACCATCTGCTTGTTGACAATTAGTACATTAGAGGGAAGGTTAGATTTAGTAATTTCCCAGCTTGCTACTGAGAGGGATTTTAAGCCAGTCTGGAGGACATCCATTGAGTTGCATCAGCCTCTATTTGTATTCTGAAGCAACATGGTCTAGACACAAGTTTGACCTAAATTCTACAAAGCTTGAGGCACAAAAAGACCAACCAGTCTCTTTGGGGGTGTTGGGGGACAAATAATGAAAGTAGAGGAAATAATATAATACAGAATACAAGCTGTGCCTTAAAGTGTTCGGTGATCTAGATAATATTAACTGAATACTGGTTACAATAACCTTCTATCAGTGGCCATTATTAGGGGATTTAAGGCTGATGGCAGCTTTCTTAACATTATTTAATGTGTTCAGTGCTGATAAAATATTTAAAACTAGGATTTTCCTGCTTAGTGCTTAGCCAATGTATTGCACAAATAAATAGAAAGTTCATAACAGATAACTAGGACTGGTATGCTTCTCCCAATCAGTATAGCCCTAGTCTTCTCTAATTGTCTCATGAGAAAAAGATTACCTGACTCCCTATAGCTTTATGTCCATCTCCTGAAAGCCTAAGAGGAAAATAAATATTCACCTTGATTCTCCATCATCTCTTGATAGTTTTCATTGTAGTTGCCAGCTTGGTTTTCCTGATTGGAGTTGACACTTACATCCTCACCATCCATGGAAGACCAGGCCATCAGTGTGGCTTCTGAGATAGCAAACTGTTGCATCACTCCTAAAATATCAAAAGACAGAAAAGAGTAAATGTCAATGATGCAAAGTCATTCCTTTATCCCACTTGCCAATAATCGCATACATCTGTCACTTCACTGTCTTTCTTTTTACTGTCTCACTGTCCAATATCCTGATCAATATCCTGTCTCAAAATTCCAACCTGGATTCTGAAATTTTATATTTTGAATGGACAATTTTGTATCAGAATGGGTGTCTCAAACATAAATAAATAAATAAATAAATAAATAAATAAATAAATAAATAAATAAATAAATAAATAAATAAATAAATAAATAAATAAATAATTTTAGTTCTATACCTCCCTTCTCCTGAAGGACTCAGGGCGGTGTAACATATAGGTACACATATAGGTACATATAGGTACACAGGAATAAATCCCACCCTCAAAGCATTCAGCAATGTTTGGAAGTTGCTAAAAATATGGAATAGGAATACAGAATTGTATAGTAAAATTATACATGATATCAGAGCCAGAAATATGAACTATAATATCTAAGGAGGGAAAAGGAATAATTCAGCATAGAAACATTTTCAATTGAAATCTTTATTTATTTGATAGTGAAAAGATATTATCTATACTGAGAGATTTGAATGGGTCCAGATCCACTCCAGAGTAAGCATATTTCCTCTAAAATAACTCTTGGATTATTTTCACACTTCTTCAAAGAGGAATAGATCAGAAATTGTTATGGCCAAACATCTGAATATCCTCAGTCCATCTATGCAATCCAAAGAAAAGCTATATTCCAAATAAATAGATTTGGAATTTTGATTCTAATGAAATAATAACATCTGCCTAATCCAGGTGTTTGGGAAGGACTCAACAGGTAGACAACAATGTCAAATCCAGTCTAAACATCTGACTAACTGAGCAAGCAACCATAATAATAGAGGAACAGTCATTATGATTCCACAAATCTAGAAAAACTATTCTGTATCCCCCTTACCCTCCTCCTCCTCCTCTTCCTCCTTGTCTACCTAGAGCCATTCACATACAGAAAGGTGGTAGCATACCTGCAAGGAATCGGGCCTCTTTTTCTCCGTCACTCAGGTCAGAGTAAGCATCTGCATCCTTGCGTACTGTCTCATGAGTATGCTGCTGGCTACTGCCTTTGCCCCAGCCTTGCCACTCAATCATGTGTGCAACACGACCCTGCCCCATGGCAGTGGGCTTGGTGACGTGATCCTTCATGGTGCGGGATATCCCTAAGGCGCCAGACATTAATAAAACAAAGAGGGGCTATTATACAGCACCAGAGCAATCTGTCGTGGCAACCTAGGACAAGTCTACTTTGTTCTCTCTTCCTGTACCAACATAATTGCTCTACTGTTACAGGAGACTCCCCATAAAGGTAAAAAAATATGCGCCAGGGAACTCCAAAACTGAATTGCTTTACCATCTTTTTATCTGAACAATACAATTTTTTCTCATTGCAGAGGAGAATCTGGGCTCGACGGCAAGAGGCTAATTGGGGCCACAATATAACAACATGTGTAATGAATTTTAAACATCCAACAAAATATGATAATAAATGTGCATAAGCAATATGCTTTCTAAAAAAAATGTTATGGGGAGCAAAATCAGGACTGCATCGCTGAGGAATTAACCCTGATGGTTCTCCTAGAAATCGCCTTCTATCCTCATCCAGACGTCATGTATTTTATAAATTTGCTCTCTATGCCCGCAGAGAGAAGTTTTCATTGGCACTTATGGTAGTTTTTCTCCTGATGCGCACAAGAGCAAATCTGGGGTGGGTCTTTGGCTGCAGCACAGCAGGAGGGAAAAAGAGATGAACTTATATGTATCTAGACTGATCCTAAAGCACTTGAAAAATGTGCCATTGACATTGCCTAATGGCAGTTAGAGAATTTAATGAGACACACAACAAAACTGATCTATGTATTACATAAAGAAATTAACAGAAATGTATTACATTTTATGTATTACATAAAAAAGACAGAATATTGGTTTTAGCTGTCTATTCCCCAACCTTTGCTGTTTATGGGGCAGGCAATAATTTTTCTACCTACAAATCAAAAGGTTTATAGAAATTATAGTAGGCAACAACATGAAATTATACAACTTAATGTTCATTCATCAAAAGTTAAATATACTAACAGTAATGTATTGATTGTTAATAAAAACAGGGTTGTCTATTTTCAGAATGTTTTACAACCATGAAAGATTAATGTTAATTAATTCTAGCACTTGCTTCTTTTCCTGGTTATGACTAAGGTTTTCAAAAGTTTTAAACAGATTTATAGAACTTCTTTAATTCTGTGAATCTTTGGTATAATTCTTTCCTTTTTCTCTATTATGAGCAAATTGAATAGAAAATTCTGTTATTTAAAACGCTTTTAAGGACAAAATCCTTCCCAAGGCCGCTTACATAATGTAATCACATGGAATAAATGCATAAATAACGAAATAGTAAACACTGATAAAGGGCAAAAATCACAGCATTATAATAATACTAAGACCAGCCAATACTAAAATCAAAATACAACTTTATCTAATCCCAGAACTATCCTCACATCGCTCTCATGAAAAGCAGAAAAGAATAAATATGTATTCAGGACTTTCTAAAATTGATGAGGCTTGATAGCTTCTAGATGCCAACCATTCCAGGAACGTAGAGTACTGTAGAAAACCCTGTTGTTTTGTATTGGTCAGCTTGTCACCCTCAAAGAAGGCAAGAGAAATTACTGGTCTTTAAAGATGAACAGGTTGGTACTGGTGAGGATGACATCCTCTAAATAATTTAACCCTTAACAGCTGCTTTAGGGGTTAAATCCAGGGCTTTAATAGTCACTCTGAAATAACATGATATCCAGTACCATGTAGCCCAGACATTCCATATCCCAAAACATTTGAAATGGATCATTTTATAGGCAGCTGCAGATTATAGTCCATCCTTGTCACCCTTACTGAATGGATAACCAAAGTGAAGTCTGGAGAACCAACCTAGTTCCTGACCATCCCAGTCACTCGGCTTTTGCCATAGGTAGAGTACTCTAGAACTAAGGGTCCCCAAAAGTGGAATCTCTATCCAGAGCACATAGTTTCGCTATCCAAAGATTCTTTTTCTTGCCTGACTAAATTTTCGCTTGTTCATTCTCACTCATCCTCAAGCAACACTTTTGCACTGAAATAAAGGGGAGATCAGCACATAACTTTAGGAAAGCACTCCTCAGTCCTATGTTCTTTAGAACTTTGGTCCTTGGGTCCCCCACATTCAGTTAATCTGAGAGTTGTGATTCAGTACTGAAAGGTATTAAATTTAGGAAGGCTGTTGGGAAGAAACCATATATGTGTTAATAAAGCATAAAGCCTTAGAAGTGCATTAGCAGTTAAATGTCAAGAGAAGAAAGAATACATCACTCCCCCCCGCCCCTTATTGTGGTGGGGGGAAGATTTTATTTTTTGCATTAGCAAAAAAGACCTTGTTCTGTAATTTGTGAAAGATAATGGGTGTTGTCCAGTTTTTATTTTTACCTCAGACAGACAATAGTGAATTCTTGTTATGCACTCAACCACACCTACCTGCTCCAACACAGAAATGCGAAGCAGTAACGAACCAATTCCAAGACATAGTGGCAACGAGGGAACTGATGAATATGTGACACTTAATCCTGCAATTTGGGTAGGCAATAAAGTTACCAAAAGTTTCTTTTTACTCCCATTATTTCATAAAGATTTGAAGTTAGGGCAAAAAGTGGATAAAACCCAGGTTAGTAAGAAGTACAACAATTTCAGATTCACAGGTCTGAGATCCTCACCAGATAATGATGATTTGGCAAGAGCTCCAATCCCATAGGCATTTGAGTTTCGTTTCAGTTTGGGAAGAATTGAGGTTGTATCTTCCATGGATAGCTGAAAACAAGTCATACCAAGAAATAAACATGAGACAGAGAAAAGGAGCAGGAGGTATTCTTATCTGAGTTTCTACGAAAACAAGAAATATAAATCTAAAATGGAAGGAACAAAGAAGAAAAAATAACAGTAACTGCAGAAAATTTCTAAGGCAAGTATTAGTTTACATCAGCTCTAATGAACTAAAGTTACATTTGGTGTCTGGCTGGAATGTGTTTTGCCAGCAATTTATGATACATTATATGAGAAGGTTAAAAGACAGAAAATAAATACAGTTCAAGGTAAAACCTGTTGTGTATGCAAAGCTCCCAAGTGCTTCAGAGCATTTCTAACATAACAACTAATAACATAATACACCATCATCGTGGCAGTGGATTATAAATTTAGACAGGCTTATATCACAGCGATAGCTGTATAATGCTGTAAATTGGTGGTCTGAGTGAGTAGAGAAGAATAAGAGCGGATTACTGTTATCTGGATTCAGATAAATTCTGAGTAGATAAGGTCAGAAAGTATTTTTCAAAGGTGAAAATTTACCCAGCTGCTTTCTTATTTTGATTTAGTATAGAAACCAGAATGATAAAGGAAAGACTAGATTCCAGGAACTCTGCACAGAGTCACTATTTCTTCTGCTCTACAGCAAGTAATAGAGCATACCTCATGTCTTGGGTTTTTTTTTTTTTCTTGTTCCTACTTCTCATCTTTGAATGCTACACAAAGGAAACACTCAACATTATTGTTGAGGAACATGGTGTGCAATCACAAAATGAAAAAAATAAAGGAATTGAAATTGGGTACAAATCCTCCAAAACCACAGATGTGTCAGTTAATTTTCCTTCTATATTATCCATACAATCTGTAAGAATCCATACTCCTGAAATTCTCTCTCTTCTTACTGAAAATCCCATCCCCATACATACACTAGATTAGCCATTCTTCCTGCATTTGCCATTTACTGCAAACGGTATTGTGTGGGACACAGAAAACCCAAGCATCAGAAAGAAGGAGGTTGAAGATTAGTGTTGGTTTGGGGCCCAGTAGCTACTTTCCTTTAAAATACAAATGGCAGTATAATGCACATATATTGTAATTACTCTAGCATGTCCTATGATTTGATACTTGTCTCCAGAAAATGGGCTACAAAAGTCATTGGTTGTCTAATAAAAATTGTACTCAAAGTATTAAAGGATAGACATTTATATTTAGCCATGATCTGAGTATTATTGTATGCCTTTGAGTAGCTCATTATTGTTTGATCTAAGCAATTTATATGACAGTTAGTGAGAAAATTAAATGGATGACTCCCATTTAATCACAATCTCTCCTTAGCAGAACATACAAAATAGTTATTAGAAGTGTTACTCCCTGAATAATGTACAGAGTGCCAAGTGTGTACTTCATAGATATACAGAATGAATATATTTGCTTTTTTCTCTATTGTGTGAGTTTTTTTCTTTTAAATAATTTGTCTTGGGGGTATTCTTGTGATAGACTTTTGGCAAAGCAATTCCCGTAGTCCTTTTTTTATCATGTTTCGTTGTCCAAGTACAGCATATTGTGGCTAACACAGAATATGGTTTATGGTTTATTATCCTAGATATCCTTATCTAGGATAATCTAGATAAATTTTCTTTTCTGGATGTTTAGTTTTTTTGGTGATGAAGACTACAGGACCTAACTTCTTTAATGGCATTTGCATTCTTTAATGAACAGTTTGAAAGGTGATTTTTATGTATTACTTTTACAGAATTGTATATGTTTGCATTTATGTATACATTTATACATAAATGTTTATACATTTACAAAACTAGGAGAGTCTGAATAATTTGGATAAAGTCTATATTATTTTAAAATGCTATGATAAAAAATAGATTGAAAATAAAGGAGTCATTAAAATAGATGTTTTTGGATTATACTTGCAAATGATAGTGATAATATCTTATAAAAATGCTTGCAATATAAATTAAAATTAACCTATGTCCTTGAGTGCAGGCAGGCATATTCAAAACAGCTAGCAAAGTAGTCATTCAAATATCCATCTACTTTAAGAGCGGATTTTGAATACCCATCCACTCACAGATCAGATTTTCTGCTGCTGAGGGGGTCTGTTGTGGGATCATGGACAAAATGTTTAGCTAATTGGAATCTGACCTTGAAACACATAAATCTTCAGTGTGTTGAGCTGCCATTCAGATCAATTATTTGTTTTTCTGGATAAAGTATCAATTGGACTAGAAGGAGAAAAATGCTCAATCTAAGGTATGACCTTAGAATTTACTAGAAGCAAGATGGATCCCTAATGGTCACCTCAAGACCCACCAGAAGCAAGACTCTCAAGACCCACCAGAAGCAAGACTCTCACATAGATAGACTGACTCAGCTACAGTGCTGGATGTACTCACATTAATGCCATCCCAGGAGAAATCTGTCCGTGTTTGCTACATAAGAATTAAGATAAAACATTAGTAACACACCCAAACTCTCTCCATACCATATTCGTTTCATGTAGCAGTTGACTTTATCGCTTTCTCTGCTAAGGATTTCAGAGATCAGGATGCATGTTTTGGGAGAGACTGTTCTTGATAGTAGTTACGGTTGTAAGTGTATAGCACAATAAATAAAGATTGGGGAGAGGGAAAAGCAAACTGAGTCGTGGTGGGAAAATATAATTATTCCAGGATTGAAGCTGCATGGAACTGGACATCAATGATACTGTCAGATGTTCATTTAAACAATGTGTTGAAAACTTATTTATAGCAGCAGTAGATGATTAAGTAGATATAGATTTATAAAACTGCCTAAAGCTTAGGCACAAAGCTAGCTGGGTGACCTTGGACCAATCACTTTCTCTCAGCCGTAGGAAGGAGGTAATGGCAAAGAACTGTGCCAAGAAAATTGCTGGCACTTGTCCAGGAAGTGCCCAAGAATTGGACACAACTGAACAGAAGGGGAAAAAGTGCCTATAGAAAAATATCTTTACTTTCTCCCTTCTTATCTTCTTCCATTCTAGCTTTCTTCTTTGCTCATCTTCCCTTCGTTCTGTCAAGGTGAAATACTCTTCCTGAAAGCTACCTTCCTTTTATTATTTTCCTTACTCATCCATTTTTTGATGTGGCACTTTACTTATAGAAAAGCTTTCCTCCCAATATTTGCTCTACTTTTATCTATATATAAATACTTTTCTCTCATCCTTCTGTCTAATTGAATTTTTCTTCCTCTTGACTCAGCTCTTCAATTCTTCCTTTCAGTTTCCTAAATGCTGTCTCATATATTGTTTCTGAGATTGCATATTGGCAGGAAAACAGTTTAGGATTGTTAGTTGACATGGCTTCACATTTCCTCAGAAATCCCTATGAGTCCTCCAACAATCAGCTGATGGCACTGAAGGGTAAGCACTGTCTGCCGTTGTCTTAAGAGTAACTCCTGCAACACAAGGAAACTGGATTTACTACCGTGTTTCCCCGAAAATAAGACCCTGTCTTATATTTCTTTGAACCCTGAAATAAGTGCTTGGCCTTATTGCCATGCATTCAAAAGCCTGATTGGGATTATTATCAGGGGATGTTTTATTTGGGGGGAAACAGGATAGTATAATGAAAAGTACCCAGCAATGTCATTAACTCATCATAGGAGGTCCACTTTGCTTCCTGGATGGATCTGAAGCCACCTATATAGGAATAGAGCAGTGGTGGGTTCCTCCCGGTTCGGTCCAGTTCAGCCAAGCCGGTAGCAGTGACGATATGATGTCACCGAACCGGTTCTCCCCCCCGCCCTCCCACCCCCTCCCCACCCCCACCCCCGTTATTCTTACCTTTTATTTGGTCCCACCCCCAATCTATTGCTGCTTCCTGAGTCCCAGCTGATGACTAGAGGGAAAAAAACTGTTTAAACTCTTGCTGCGGGGCTTCAAAGGGCCGTCCTACAGCTGATCAGTGTTAAAAGCAAACAAATGAGTCGGGTCGTAAGTGCGAGGACTGGTCGTAAGTGCGAGGACCTTCCAGAAATGACTCTGACCAGCTAGCCACTCCCAGTCACATGACCTCCAAGCCACACCCACAAAATAAGCCACGCCCACAGAACCGGTAGTAAAAAAATTTAGAACCCACCCCTGAATACAGTACATTCCTGAACATTTAGAAAACCTTTTCCAGCACCATATGTATCTTATCTCAAGCAATGTAGCCTCACCTAGAGCTGGATTCGTATATATATATATGTGAAAACATGGAAGTTTAATGCAAATTTAACCAATGAAGTGTGCTGTTAAACCTGCTTTCAAGCATAGTTTTCCATAGATGTTTAGCAATGCTTGTCTATTTAATGATTCTAAGATTAAATATTAAATATTTTAATTACAATACATGTCCTTAAAGAGAAATGGCTGAAGTCACACTTTACTCTTAAGAACTTCTGTCCAGCACATCTCAAATTAAAAGAGGTTCTGGTAACAGTACTTCAGAAAATTGCTTTTCTGGCATTGAGAGAAGTTAGTGGTCAAAATAGACAAGACTAGTCTGGTTTAATTATTGGGCCACTGATTCTGAATGAAGGCAAAGCTCTGCGTAGTCCAATAATTATTTTATAACAGTGGTCCATGAGATGCCGGTAGAAATTTTAAAAATGGAGAAAAATGGAACCACCTGAACCAATTCTCCTACCATTCAAATGGCTATCACATTGAGTAGTCAAAATTCCCTGAAGAGAGATTTCAGGAGTCACAGTCTAAGTAAGCATACATCAAAATGCTTCCATCTATTTGCAGGACTTTCATAAAAACTAAACATGTCATGCTTGAATAGCATTTATCTATTCCAAAAAGCTCATTAAATTTAATTTCATACACCCTATTAGATAAGTAGGCCACACACAATTATCAGAAAATCAAACAAAGTTATGCAAGAAGGACAGTCCATCTGAAGCTATCTACTCTATGCTGATGGATAATGAAAATGTTTTTCCTTAACCCAAATTTCAATACATGGGCCTGAAAAGTTTGAACTTCTTCAGGCACCCCTCCTGCAATTGATTGGACCTAGAAACAGCTTTTCTCTGTTTAAATCATCCAAGTATTGTGGGGAGAGCTGCATGATTATAGCAGAAAGAAAAGCATATAGTGTGCTGTTTTCCCCTCTGAAATTCTGCTGCTTGGTAGTTGGCAGGCTGATTGTTATGTAATTAAAAAGGGAGGACACTTCCTGCATTCACATTTTCTACTCCATCATAATAATACTCAATCCAGTCTGGTTCTTAGCTGAGTGCCAAGAGAAAAAAAAAAAATCAGAGGCCTCTAGGGGACCAGGGCTGGCCATACTTGATGCACAAGACTTACTACCAAGTCATTAAATGGCCTGAACTGAGTAGAGATTCTATAGCAAAAGGAGAAAATTATCTGCATTATCAAAACATTACAAGAGGATATTTTAGAGAACATGAGTGGTTTTATCTCACCAGTACTCATTAGAAAAATTTCACAGATAAGGATTTATCCTAGGCACTTCATGGAATACTGCCAAGACATTTTTGACAGCTAATGGTTCTAGAAACTTATTGGATTCAAATCCCAAACAATTATTTGGTTTCCTGCCAATCTATATCAAGTCAAAATGAAAATTCAAAAAACCCTATCATTGTCTGCAATAAAACACCTCCACCCTCTTAGAGTATTTGAAAGATCCCGGATCTTCATCCTGGAACATACTGGTTTCTGTGGTTTTGATTGGGGAATTCTCTTTGCTCATGATCCTTGAATGCTCTCTTATCTATGACATGGAATGAATGCTCACCTCAGTAGATGGTCTGTGGATGCTGCTTCCATGGAGTGAGCTGGTGCTGTCCATATTGATCTGGTCCACATCTTTTAGCCCTTTCCAGTCCACAGCAATCACTTCGTTTCCTGAAGCCACACAAAAAGTAATTTCCTACTTTTGAGTTCCTACTTTTGTAGTGATTACATTCTAACATTTCCTTGGCCTGGGATGTCCCATAGCTGATAAAAAATGTTAATTTAGGCAGGAATCTCTGAGGAAGGCAGTCACACATTTCATTAGGATGCCCCCTTCACCCCAAAGAAGATAATAGGCTATTGAATCAAACTGTGATCTGATGTTTTTAAAAATGTTAGAAGATTGGATAAAATAGTGTGATTGGCTGAAATATTGTTGAATGCCAGGAAAATTGCAAGATTCATCAATCACTGAAACTGAGAGAAAAGAGACCCCTGGATTTCAGAACAGCATTACAGCCAAGCTTTAAGAAAATGTGGTGTCACTTCAGACTCTAAGCACACTTTTTCATTATGGAAAAATATATTAGAAGTTTAATAAATAAATATTAACTGCCATTTGGGGTACATCAAAAGAATCAAATTCAACACTAATATCAAATATAAATTATGAAGAATGAATATCATCTACAGAGCGGTGATCCTTAAGTGCCTTTCTGAAACCCTTTGAGTCCCTTCTGAGTACGACAACTGAAAACTGATGGCCCAGTTTCCTGCTCTTTTTAGGTGGAAAATCATATTGCAAGCTAAAAAAAATCAAATCATAATCTAAAAGAAAAAAAGAAACTGCTCAAAAACCTGGGAAAAAACAGCGCTACCCAAGTGTGTGTAACATTCCCACCCATCTTTATACATGAGGCCCTTGGTCACAAAACTTTGCTCACCCTAAACCAGTAATGTACATATGTTAAAAATTTGGGTAGATTATTAATAGTTACACTATAAACCTTAAATACCACATGGAGACTAATTTCAAATAGGATTTGTATAGACAGACATTTAAACAGGGCTTGTCATTCTTTTCTCCATAATCAAGAGCCTCCCTGTTTCACAAACCATTCCCCATAGCTGAAATACATAGATAGATCATTAGATCATGCAGTCATTTGTCTTCCTCTCCCCCTCCCATTTTTCAGATAGATGAAACAGTTCTAGGCAAAACAGGATGGCTCTATTGCATTTTAAACACCACCTAATCAATACTGTACAAAGCCATTTTAAGAAAACTTACAAAACTGGCTTCATTTCTTAATCTGATCCTAAATAGTAAATGTTGTAGCGCGGGAATAACGAGAGGCACAAGCAAGCTAGTGACAACAGCTCTTTAATTCAGGGTGAGACTTCAGCAAAGAAACACAGGCAACAGCCCTCTTTATATACTTTTCAGAGGCAACCAAGAACCAATCAGAATTCACTGTACATTTGAATTTCCCGCACAAAATAGATACATACATAACACCCCTCCCCTCCCAGAAGGCACTTATTCTATCTATTTACATATTTACATACAAAATCACGCAGGTGACCAGGGCGTGTCTTAATCCTGGTTGACCTGTGCAGTTCAGTTGTTGGAGAGGCGTCGAGCCGGTCGGAGGGACCTCCCGTTTCTCCCGGCTCCGCCAATGGAACCTCCTGGATTTCTCCAGAGGTGTGGCTATCCCCGGCTGGGAGTGTTGGCTCGCTGGGGCGGTGCTGGAACTCTGGGTTGCCAGATAAGTATTCCGGCTTACTCGGGCTTGAGGTAGCTGTGTCAGGAAGACTTTGATAGTTAGGACATAAGTTTTCGTTTTGTAACCGTTTACGCAATTGATCTATATGTCTCCTCCAAATTTTACCATGCCCTATATCAACTGTGTATGACTTTGGACCGGTAATTCCTACGATGATTCCCTCTACCCACAAGGGCCCGTTGGTGTAGTTTCTGGCAAATACTGGTGTTCCCACTTGGAATTGTCTTAGTCCTCCCACTTCCCCCTTGAAGTTATCGGAGGAGTAATTGGGATGCAGTCGATCGGGAATGCATCTTAGCTTTCGGCCCATTAAGAGCTCAGCTGGGCTGCGGCCCGAGGTGGGGCACGGGGTGGCGTGCTGTACAGCTAAGAACTCATCTATTCTAGCCTGCCAGTCCCCTGCATCGAGACGGGAAAGAGCTTCTTTGGCCGTTCTTACAAATCTTTCTGCAAGGCCATTCGAAGCTGGATGAAAAGGAGCGGATAATGCATGTTTTATGCCTAATTCAGCTAGGTAGCCCTCAAATTGAGTTGCCATGAATTGGGGCCCATTGTCAGATACCAGGGTGTCCGGCAACCCGTGTGTTGTGAATAGTTTTCTGAGTACTTTGATTACGGCCTCAGAAGTGGTAGATGGCATTAAGGCAATCCCGAGCCACTTAGAATATGCATCTACAATGAGTAGAAAGTTCTGGCTGTGGAACGGGCCAGCGAAATCAATGTGAATCCTCCCCCATGGCCCCTTTGATTTTTCCCATTCCCGAACAGGAGCTATAGGAGGATCTGGGCGGGATTCCTGGCAGGGCCTGCACTTCCCCACCCACTCAGTGATGTCTTGGTCGAGATGTGGCCACCAAACATAGCTACGAGCTAGGCCTTTCATGCGGACAATACCAGGGTGTCCCTCATGCAGCATCTCTAGAACTCTGTGCCTTAACCATGAAGGAATGACCACCCTGTCTCCCCACAACAAGCAACCCCCCAACATTGACAGTTCATTTTTTTTGTTAAAGTACAACTGAAAGTCACCACCGTCCACCTTGGCAGGCCAACCCCTCATAACCCAGCCCATTACAGTGCGCAAAACAGAGTCTCTGGCAGAAGCCCTCGCCACCTCGTTTGAAGAAATGGGGCCCAGGGAAACAATGTCAAGAAGTAAAACTGGGGCTTCCGGGGTCAGGTTGTCTAACAGTTCAGGCAAGGGGCATCGGCTGAGGGCATCAGCATGTCCCAGAGTTTTGCCCGGCTGGTGGAGCAGTCTGTAAGAATAGGCGGCTAAGAAAATGGACCATCTAATCAAAACATCATCGAAATACGGGACAACACCTGGGAGGCCTTGTAGAAGGCACTCCATTGTGCTCTGAAAGAGCCCAGGGGCAATGCTAACCCCAAACTGAAGTCTGGTGCATTTAAAGGCACCTCTGTGAGTTACAATTGTCTGTGATTCTGCCGTAGCGTCATCTACAGGCAGTTGCTGGTATGCCTGCGCAAGATCTAGTTTTGCGAATAGCTTGCCAGGCCCCAGGGAGTGTAGTAGATGGTGGACTATCGGAACTGGATAGGCACTCTGCTGCAACGCCTTATTTATCGAACACTTATAGTCAGCGCAAATTCTAATTGAGCCGTCCGATTTGACTGGCGTGACTATTGGGGTTTCCCACTTAGCGTGATCTACGGGAATTCCCGTAGATCATTGTTTAATGAGCTTGTCGAGCTCCGCATCAATTTTGGGCTTTAAAGCAAATGGGACTCGTCTTGCTTTCAGTCTAATTGGCGCTACGTTGGGGTCTAAATTAAAAGATATAGGGGTCCCCACATACTTGCCTAGAGTCTCTTCGAAAACGTCCCAAAACTCGTGAAGAAGGGTTTCTTTGAGGGATGAGCCGCCGATGCTGTGAACGCCCGTGAAGCCCATGCCGAGGGCTCAGAACCATTTCATGCCCAGGAGACTCGGTAGTGGCTTGCTTACGATGGTCAGGGGCAGCTCTCTCTGGAACTCGCCGTAGGTGACCCGGAACGTGCCCACGCCTTCGACGGGAACTCGGTTTCCCTGGTAGTCGAGGAGGCTAATTCTCTGTCGGGACAGCTGGGTTTTCTGGAACTTGGGAAGGAGCACCTTGAGTGTTGTCCAGGACATGATCGATAACGTAGACCCAGTGTCGATTTCCATTTCACACGGTCTGCCATCAATTTCTACTTTTGTGTAGACTTTCTCATCGTCGGTTGTGCTGGCTTGGCCGATTCTCGTGCTGTAGGTCTCCCGCTTTTGAGATTTGCGCCGTTTCCTCGCGCCGTCATTTTTGATTGGCTGTTTTGAATGAGCCAGTTCTGATTGGTCGCGGTAGTCACGTGGCTTGCGACTACGCGGAAATTGAGCTCTACAAACTCATGCTAGGTGGCCTTTCCTATCGCAACGCCTGCAAATGGCTTCTCTGTATTTACACGATTGTCTCTCGTGATCCCCGCCACAGCTAGGACAGTTCTCGTGGCGGCGGCTTTGCTCGCTCAATTTCTTTTCTGTATGGAAGACGTCCTCGTCCGACTCTTCCTCTGTGCTAGTTCGCGCCTCTTCTCTGTGGATGGGGGCTGTTTTCGGCCCATCTTTGCTTGAAAGTGGTCGCTGCAGCGCTTCCGAAGCCTTCGTTGATGCCTCGTGTGCACGGGCTTCATCTAGCGCACCGGCTAGCGTTAAGTCTGGCTTGGCCAGAAGGCGCCTTTGTAACTGGGTATCTCGAACCCTGCAAATCAATTGTTAAAGCAGCGCGTCGTCTAAGTCTCTATAGTCACAATGCGTTGTGGCTTTTCTAAGCGCGGCCACATAAGCGCTGACTGGTTCTCCTTCTTTTTGTACTCGTTGCCGGAGTTCGTAGCGCTGTACAAATTTGGAAGGAACTGGAGCGTAGTGGGCTCTCAGGTTGGCTTGAAGGATATCCCAGGGGACCGTCTGGACTGGGGTTGGCTCGCAGAGGGACTCGGCCATCTCGAATATGTCTGGCCCGCAGTGGCTTAAGAACAGGGCTCTCTTTTGGTTCGCTGAGAGCCCTTGCATTTCGCTTCCTTCCAGGGAACACTCGAACCTGGTCAGATACGATCCCCACTTCTCTCGGGTCGGGTCGAAGGGTTTTGGTGGAACGTAGGCAGACATGCCGCGTCTCCGTGTTTGCTAGTCACCCTGGCTGAAACTCAGAGCTCTTTATGATTTGCTTCTTGTGGCCTCAATCCCACCTTCGTCGCCAATGTTGTAGCGCGGGAATAACGAGAGGCACAAGCAAGCTAGTGACAACAGCTCTTTAATTCAGGGTGAGACTTCAGCGAAGAAACACAGGCAACAGCCCTCTTTATATACTTTTCAGAGGCAACCAAGAACCAATCAGAATTCAC